ATTCTTTAAGCACGATACCCCTGTCAAGGTCTGGTTTTAAGTCTCTGTTTCAATAAAGAATGAATGAATGAATCAAGAAATGACAACACTGCACTCAGAATATTCCTATAAGTGCTCGGTCTCCGTCCTCAGTAGCCAACAAAGAGCCGACATGTCTAAAGTACGAGTTGATTAAATGTCCGCCTTTGTTTCCCTCTCAGTGTTAAATAACTTAGAAATCCGTTACACTCCCCCCCCCCCCCCCCCCAACACCCAATTTAATTGAACTCTCAATGTGTTGATTCTCTGTTTTATTGCGCTGACCATTTGATCCAAGAGAGCCTTTACCACGTCCCCCCGTATCAAAAAGTAGCTCACCTTTCAGAGGATCGGCAACAGCCACTTCATTAACCTGCGCAATATCCTGAAAGAAAATCGATGCTCCTGACCTTTTCCATAAAGAAAGGCTGTCCGAATTACATGGATTTACCACTTTAAAGTTCTGTGTCAGAGGGTGGGGGTGTCAAGGAGAGGGTGGGAGTGTCAAGGAGAGGGTGGGAGTGTCAAGGAGAGGGTGGGAGAGTCAAGGAGAGGGTGGAAGTGTCAAGGAGAGGGTGGGAGTGTCAAGGAGAGGGTGGGAGAGTCAAGGAGAGGGTGGAAGTGTCAAGGAGAGGGTGGGAGTGTCAAGGAGAGGGTGGGAGTGTCAAGGAGAGGGTGGAAGTGTCAAGGAGAGGGTGGGAGTGTCAAGGAGAGGGTGTTAGTAGCAAGGAGAGGGTGGGAGTGTCAAGGAGAGGGTGGGAGTGTCAAGGAGAGGGTTTGAGTGTCAAGGAGAGAGTGTGAGAGTCAAGGAGAGGGTGGGAGTGTCAAAGAGAGGGTGGGAGTGTCAAGGATAGGGTGGGAGTGTCAAGGAGAGGGTGGGAGTGTCAAGGAGAGGGTGGGAGTGTCAAGGAGAGGGTGGGAGTGTCAAGGAGAGGGTGGGAGTGTCAAGGAGAGGGTGGAAGTGTCAAGGAGAGGGTGGGAGTGTCAAGGAGAGGGTGAGAGTGTCAAGGAGAGGGTGGAAGTGTCAAGGAGAGGGTGGGAGTGTCAAGGAGAGGGTGGGAGTGTCAAGGAGAGGGTGGAGTGTCAAGGAGAGGGTGAGAGTGTCAAGGAGAGGGTCCGTGTATAATTAGACGAGCAGACCTCTTCAACCATGTATGGAAATTCTCTTCACAAGTATCTGCTTATGCATTGATTGATTTTTTTTTTCTTAGTTCTGTATGCGTTCAATTTCGAACTTCCACTTTTCTCTTATTTTTTATGCATTCAATTTTCCCATTTCCCACTTTCTCTTTAACTGTATGCATTCGATATTCGCATTTCCCACTTATCTTATTACTGTATCCTTTCGAGTTTCTTATTTCCCACTTTCTCCTATTACTGCCGTACGTGATCAAGTCCTTATGGGTGCAAGTGTACAATTCGGAGTAGCAAATGGATAACCACGGTCTGGTGAGAGTGAGGCAGCTGGGAAGTGACGAGAGGATCTGGCCGATGTTGGAAGCTCAGAGGAAGGGCAAGACGGACATATAATCAGACTGCTACTGGAACCATTTGTATTGGGACTCTGCGCTGGCTGCTGAGAATGGGCTCCACGCTCCATGGAAATGTTCGGAGTCCTCTGATTTCAGTTCTGGAATCAACTAAATTCAACTGTTTCTTTCAGTTACTTTCTTTTCTAGATAATTTTTCTGCCACCCCTCCCCCACCCACACCCCCTTTTTTAAAATTTCTTTAATGTCTTTACACATTACCGTTTCACTGCATTACTTTTCTTACTATGTTTTATTCTGTACAAACTACATTTTCACATCTTTACTTTCACTCGTTATAGAGAGTGAGGTTCTGTTCTTTTCTCGGAGATTCCTTGGGAATTTCCCGGAAAGTCAAATATTATAGGCGGGGGGATGGGGGGGGGGGTGTTAGTCGGTGTTGATTTTACACCCTAACACCCATATACTTAAGCATTTAAACGGAAACTTCCCACGAAATCTCGGAGTCTTCGAGATAGGGTGAACTAAAAGAAAAAGACCCAGAATGGCCCTCACTTTGGACGAACAACAACAACAGCCATAATATTTTTCCCTATTTTACTTCTCCACCTTTGTTTTTCATGTACAAATTACGTTTTCATTCCCCCCCCTCCTCTCTCTCTCTCTCTCTCTCTCTCTCTCTCTCTCTCTCTCTCTCTCTCTCTCTCTCTCTCTCTCTCTCTCTCTCTCTCTCTCACCATACACACATACCTTCTATTATTCATTTATTTTAGTAAAGTAAAAAAGTAAAGATCCTTTTTCACGCCCTTAGGCGCATCGGGTATATGGGAACAGCACCCATATTTTTACAGACCACAGCACTAGGTGGGTAATGTGGCCAGCATTACGCCGACCGTTTTTACTTCCCTAGGACATACATCCTAGTACCCATTTTAGGCTGGGTCGATCTCCGACGCCCCATACCACTATAAAAATCCACACAGCAAGCAGTGGGTTTCGATAGCGGTACGTTGGAATTACGAGTCGGACTCGCAATGCCTAAGCCAAGGACGTTGCTTCATTTTATAAAGTAACAAAAAATGAATTGATCGGCACTCATAGGAAGAAGTACAAAGATAGAAGAACACACTAGACAACATACAAATTGAAAGCCATAGTTGCCATGCCGAGAATCGAACCTGTAACCTCGAGACGGCCTGTACCCCTCGCTATGGAAACATTTTGACAGTTTTACCACATTTAACATCTCTTTGTCACTTTCTTTTGTATAGGACCTCAGCGTGGTAGAGTACCGCCAGCTTCCCGCCTACGGTCTTGCTGATCTGTTCGCCGATATCGGAGGTACTCTGGGCCTGTGGATGGGCATCTCTGTCCTAACCATCATGGAGCTGGTCGAGTTGATTATACGACTGATTGGCCTCGCTTTCAATTCTGAGCGGGACTTTCCCAGTGGGCCTTTACAGAACAATAACAGCATTAACGGACAAGGTGCCGGTCGGTGCAAACTTGCAAACGGACACGTGGAACCTGAAAGCTATCAGGATTCTGCTGGGACGTCGATGTTTGATTTTAGACGATGTGTGGATTCGCCAGTATGACAAATGCTGACATGTTTTATAAATAGGGTGTCCCAAAACGTAGATACATTTTGGTTTATTAGAATATATGTTAATTTTTCAAGTAGTGTGTGTTTGTGAAACGTCTCTCTAATAAGGAAAAAAAGCCACTCATTCTCCTGACAACTTTGCCTGGTGAACTTTACATACTAAAGACGTGCTTGATATCCACCATCGTGCCAGTCGTCCCCTGCCTCTCATTCCAGGAACCATACCAGACATCACTATTTTCTTTAAGCAGTTACTGTGTTGAACATGGTCACATGTTTCGAGCTATGGACAACTTTACCGTTCATGAGCTAGTGCTTTCCATGTTCATTTCCTCAAGAATGACAGTATTTTACCTTTTCTGGCTTCGTGATACTCGAAGAATCTGCTTGAAACCTTTATCAAAAGCACATGAATTTCTACTTTAGTTATTATGGTATGTTTATTACGTGTAGGAAACTGAAATTTAGAAATCCCATTAGCAAGTTAAGATAAGCGAACTAGTGTTAATAGTTTTCGAAAAGGAATTATTTATCTACAAGTGGCTAGGCGAGGATGTAACGGGTGTAATCGCCGCTGACACTTCCCATTGCCAAAGAAAAATGAATGATTTTATTATTTATTAAAACTATTGAGTGTTGATTACAAATACGCCACTCGATTCACGTCTCGCCGAGAATGCAAAGCTTGTTAAGAATATTACCATAGCAAAAAAGAACGCTCGCTGCATGGTCACGCCTCTCATGCAGAAACGGTGACGTGTGAAAGCTACCAGTTACTAGTACTACGATGCTGCCTGCGCACGCACACTCTTAACACAGGAGCAACGAAGCGGAAAATATTAAGTGACACCCTCTCCACTGCAATCATTAATTGCCATACTCTAACTACTGTCAGTTTGAAGAATTGAATGTCAGATCCACCATGAAGACTAGTTGCCATAGATTTATAGCATGCTCTTTCTCACGCCCAGTGTGTTCAATAAATATTTACATTTAAATAATTGTCATTTTAATATTGGAATAAACTCTTCGCTTGCTGCTGAAGATAGGGACGGAGCGCTTATGGGGGTGTCAAGAGTTCTGTGATGTCGATTCCTAATTCAGCATTCAAATATTTAAAGACTTGTGATTAAATGCGCTCGGTTTTGTACTATCAACGCTGTTGTGTGTCATTTCAGTATGTCTAAGTCCAAGTCCTTTTGAGAGAACAAAAATGAAAAGGTCGACCACTTTCAGACTGCTGCTAGCTAGCCGAGGCTGCTAACAGTCTCCGCCTATATTTGTGGTCTGGGTTTTTTGTGTCACTTTCGTGACTTAATTCTAGTATTGCGCCATTTTTGGGCTTGATGCTTCCAACCGGTTCCGACCGCTCGTCCTGCACCGTTGTTAGCTGTTCGTTTCTTTCCTCTTCTTATCTGGTGTCAACTCTCGTAGGAGCCAAGCGTATCTCGTAGGAGAGCGAGCTTTTCAACACAACGTCCTTTGGACCACCATTTATAGTTTTAAAATTTTGAGTATTTTATTTTGCCAAAAAGTACTGAAAACAGTTTCTGATTTTGAATAGTTCATTTCAGTATGGTAATGTCCACAATTTATATGATCACCAGAATGACAGATCAGAACAGGGATTTTACCCCGGCTCATCCGTTTGGCCACGTCATCCAAGTATTTATCTTTGTTGTCCCTTTGTTATCTTTCTTGCCAGTTGCCACACAGTTTTCAAGTCTATCCCCTTTTATAACATGCCCACACTATTGGCTGATTATGTCTAATTCCTCAGTCCAGATTAGGGTTTTAACAACTCTCCGGAAAAACTGCCCAATTTGCTATTCTATTCCTCCACGGTATTTGTTATATTCTTCTAAAATACACATTCCCGTTACCAGGGACTGCTGCTTTTCGGCTTCTCTTCTTACTGTTGTTTTATACCTCAGGGGGGGTTCATTAAAAAAATGCAGTCCAAATGTCTTAAGTATTTCTCATTGCATTACCATCCAAATCACCCCCCTCCCCCTCCCCCTCAATGTCGACATTCAGTTAACTGTATGTTGGATAAAAGTATTTTAAATAGCGAGGATAGTTTTAAAAAATGGCTTTAATGTGTGTCGAAAGGAATTCACTAATTAAAACTATGACGGAGCCCGGCTCTCTAGCGAAGTTGGTTAAACCTGACTTTCGCGGCGACCGGGTGACGAACTCCTTGTGGTCCAGGTTCACTCCCGGGGGTAAGCAGAAAAGCCACATTTCTCCCAGATTAACGGTACCTATAAGGGAATCAAGGCCGAGAGGTTGCGATATCCATAGTACAGAGCCAAAGGGTTTACAACTTATGGTTTCTGGATACGTTGAAAAAAAAAAAAACTATGACGGCGAGGCTCGGAAAAGGGAAGAAAGCGAGAGAGAGAGAGAGAGAGAGAGAGAGAGAGGGGGGGGGGGGGTGGGGAATTCAGCCTACAGAAATAACAGCACGTTACGACCACATTTATCGATGAGTAAAACGACAAAGAGAACAAAGATATTAGACCTAAAAATGGGGTGTCACATGAAAAAACAAAACATAAAGCAAATTTGACTTTAAAGTTCAATGGAGGCGAGAAAAAGATGTGCCGAAATACATTCGAAAGTTTTGACCATGGAATCTTTATCAATATGGGGAAACTGGCTAATTAAAAAAGGGACAATGTCATGAAAGGGACATGGAACAAGAAATACATAATAGAAGAAATATGGACTCGAAGAGTGTTAGGAATTAAACAGAAGAAACACCTGGAAAACGAGAGGTCATCTACATTTAAAAAAAATTATGTTGTTGTATTTGTGCACTTGGTGCTGTTCACGTTTCCAGGCCCAGAATTAGATTTGCTTCCCTTGCCATTCATATCTCCTTAGGTCGCTGGACCTGTCCTATGTTGCGGGGGGGGGGGGGGGGGGGGATTGTTTTCCGTATTGTGAACGGTTTAACCGTTGACTATTTTCTTGTCTTCTCACCACTCGCTTGTGTGATTATTTTCACGCTCTGCTACCTGTGCGACGTTTCGGGAGTATGGAAACAGTGACATGTTTCTATACCTATGCTCCTTGTGGCTAGTTTCTTTTTCTCGCGGGAAAGCCAACGCCAACGAATGTAGAAATACAAACACACAAAAAACATTAAAATTTCGATAGCCGAGAATCGTCGCGCTTGCCGTGCTTTTCCCTGCAGTACTTTTTACTTGCACACAGGCGCCTACGAAGCCTGAAATAAACTTACCACAACACAACCTCCCACAAACATTACTACGCCAAGCGAACGCCAAACCAAGCCATATCATAACACCCAGGCAACAAGGGAGAGCGACCTAAGGAGACATGAATGGCTAGGAAAGTTACTCTAATCCTGGGCCTGGAAACAGGAACAGGACTGTGCAAAAACCCCCCCCCCCCCCCCCCCCCCCCCCCCCCCCCCCCCCCCCCCCACCCTTTTTTTTGCCCCCCCCCCCACTTTTTTTTTCGATTGCACAAATATTTATTTTTTTTTAATTTTTTTTTTTAAGTTCAATTTTCCTGAAGACTGATAACTGAAATGTAAAAAAAAAAAGTATGAATGGGAAAAGATGGTACAAACAGAGCGATAACTGACAGCAGTACTAGCGGCAAAGGACAGTCGGTATTTTTTTTAAAGACATGTTATGAAAAGGATAATTTATTAACAACTGACCAGATCGATAAGAAAAGAGCAAGAGGAAGGTAAAGAGATCAATGTCTTTTCTCCATGATTGAGGTGTCTGGACATAGATGTAGCATCAGCAACAAAAGCAGCAACAGCAACCCTAGTGGTAGTCGAGGTTTCAATTTCACTGCGAGGAGTCGCTATATACCTGTTCTGTTTTTGTTTTTAAACATCTTTTTGCCCGTCTCTCTAGCGTAGTTGGCTAAACCGGATTGTGCGGTGAGCGGGTGACGAACTCCTTGTGGTCCGAGTTCACTCCCGGGGGTGGGCAGAAAAGCCACATTTCTCCCAGATTTACGGTATTTAAAATGGAATCAAGGCCGAAAGGTTGCGATATCCATAATACCGAGCCTAAGGGTTAACAACTCATGGCTTCTGGATACTAAAACAAACAAACAAACAAAGATCTTTTTAAAGATCCCTTTTCACGCCTTGGGCGCTTTGGGTATAGGGGAAGAGCACCCATATTTTTACAGACCAATCAGCACTAAGTGGGTAATGTGGTCAGCATTACGCCGGTTTTCTTTACTCGCCCTCCCCCTCCCCCGTACTCTGTTGGTACCCATTTTAGGCTGGGTCGACCTGCGACTCCCCATACCATGATAACTATCCATTCAGCCAGCAGTGGGTTTCGATCGCGGTACGTTGGTGTTAGGAGTCGGATTTGCAACGCCTAAGCCATAGACGCCAAAACGTTCTGTTTTTGTAATAATGAAAATCACAAGAAATGCCAGTCACATCACATCTGAAATCTGATTGGCAAACAATAACTCCCGCAAAATCCAGAAACATGCAAAAGCAGTAACTGATGCCAGATGTTCCAACACCAATAGCCATCGCCAGAATTGTAATCTGTCATTGATAAAAGTACTAAGTTAGAATAATTGGCTATACACACGCAAAATTATGCAAAAGGAATTTCGCTAGCCCAAAAGCTAACGGTTTACCCGCCGAAACGGCGGGTAAACCGTAACATAACGTTACAGCCAATGCGGGCACAAATGAAAGGCATTCCCCAGGAAAAAAAAACAGCTTACAGTGCTGCACCACGCACTTAACTCAGCAGCTGAAACATTGGACCGCCAGTTCTTCCTAGACAATTTATGTTTAGTTACTTCATTTATTTTTATCGGCTCGAATACAGACACTTAACTCTTTTACTCATTCATTCACCCTTCTAGAAAGATCAAGTGACAGTTTTACGAATTTTGATTGACAGGGGAAAACAACTACTGATTCCCGCAATTATTTTTTTTTTAATTGGGTCAAAATTTTTGTGTCAG